TCAGAGTTTATCGGGTCTCTTACACTCATGTTGTAATTCAGCTAGAAAATCACTTTAAATGATTCCTAACAGGTCCAAATGCTGTGGAGTTTATCATAAACCATGCTGAAGTTTCGATAGCATTTGTACAGGATAACAAGATTCCTTCTGTAAGTTCTATCATATTTCTTGGAGCACAAGCTTTATTGATGCCTATGTGGGATTTTTATTTCAGCAAAATGAACCATATGATAGTTTTTCTTTCCCACAATTATTCTGGATGCTAGCTTTGTAAGTTAGATACCTTTAACATATAACTATCTCAATTGGCCATCAATCTGTTTCCTAACAAATTAAAAGATGAGAAACTCATTAGCAGCTTTTAAAATGAGTCATAAATTTATTTTCTGGTATTTCTGTAAGATGCTGAAAAAAATAGTTAAAATCAGTAATCTACTTTGAAGCTGACTCAATGTTTGCACGTACTGCTAGTCTCTTTTATAATGTTATTTAATTTAATATTTTAAGTTATCCATTGAGTTTGTTGAAGATAATTAGCTTGTCATCTGGGACAGCGATGAGTATCTCTGTTATATATGTTTGTTCTTTTTCCCCCCCATTCCTTCTAAAGTAATGACTACTAATCCACAGGTTTTGTCATGCCTTGATAGGTGTTCAAATCTTAAAAGTAAGTCAAATGTGTCTATTTTGTCTGTGTTACTACTTACTATTAGTTTAAGTGTCTTCCATCTTTTAATTTAATGGTAACCGGCCTCTGTAATTTACTGGTGTAGCTATTGTGAGTTTTGGTAATGTTTCATCTTCACAAAAGAAGGAAGCTGAGGAGCTTGGTGCATCTTGCTTCACGTGGGGAGAGTTTCTCCAGTTGGTAGGAACCCTGATTCTCAAATTCATATTTATGTTTATAATTAAAAGCAAGAACCATTTTTATTGAGAGTATAGGGAGATAAAAATTTTAATGTCTAATACTGTATCTTCATTTCTCTAGGGAAATACGGATTTTGACGTACCACTGAAAAAGAAGACTAACATCTGCACAATCATGTACACTAGTGGAACAACAGGCGAACCCAAAGGCGTTATTATCAAGAATGAGGCTTTCATGACCCAAGTGTTGTCTATTGACCAAATACTTTATATAACTGACGTAGTGGTATGATAATCATTTTTCTCACTTGTTTCATGTTATATTTTTCAAGCTTGGGAATAATCTGCCCCCCCCCCCCCCCAAAAAAAAAAAGGATAAGTTGATGAGGAAAAAGAAAAAGTATGAGTTTATCATATTTATGAAATAATATGTGCTCAGACGAAATGTAAACTATGTATTATTGATAGGGAACAGAAGACGATGTCTACTTTTCTTTCCTTCCTCTTGCTCATATATATGACCAGATAATGGAGACATATTGCATCTACAAGGGCTCCTCAATTGGATTTTGGCAAGGCGTAAGTTTTAGATTCTGTTCCTACTATTATTTCTTGCTCATTCTCTAATGTTTTCACTGCATGGAATTTTTTCATGTTAATTCTTGCAGGATGTCAGGTTCTTAATGGAAGATATTCAGGCGCTGAAACCAACTTTATTTTGTGGCGTTCCTAGAGTATATGATCGTGTTTATGCTGGTAAGGCTAGAATGCTTCTTGTGTTAGTGCTCTTATCTTGATGTGCACTATACTGTTCCAAGTAATGAATTTAAGCTCCATGTACCCTTGTGACTACTAACTACACTGTCTAATAAGTATTGACTATATGCCTTGTGCCTTAAGGTATCAGTAGCCAAATTTCATCTGGAGGAGCACTGCGAAGTACATTGTTTCAATATGCATATAACTAGTATGTACTGCAACTAACGTTACCATCTTAAACTTCTACTCTTCCATCCTTGGTGCAAACTAATATATAATCTACTGTCAGCAAATTGGGATATCTGGAAAAGGGTCTTCCCCAAGACAAAGCAGCACCCTTGTTTGATAGGCTCGTGTTTGATAAGGTATTCTGTTTTATTCTGCGATTCTTGTTCATAAATTCGTTTGAAAATTGAAATATTGGTTTGATGTATAGATAAGACAAGCATTAGGTGGACGAGTTCGTCTTCTATTATCAGGAGCTGCTCCTTTGCCTAGGCAAGTGGAGGAGTTTTTGAGGGTCACTTTTGGAGCTAATATGTCACAAGGATATGGTATGATATTTGAATCTTTTGCTAAAAAGTGCTGATAGATTGTTTTTATGTCATTTTGATGACAACTCCTCAGTACAAAATTTTAAGAAATGGTTCAGTTCTGTCAGTCTGTTGTGATTATAATTGTAGCATTCCTTGATTTGGTTTTACTTTTTTTTTTTTGTTTGAATGCATTCTGTAGTAGTGCTCACATGTTAATCCTATCCCTAGTTCATTTTTCTATGTGGGTGTGTGTGTCTTTAATTATGCCTTGTTAAATTATTATCATTTTGATGTTACAGGTCTTACTGAAAGTTGTGGTGGGTGTTTCACTGCAATAAGCAATGTGTTTTCTATGATGGGAACAATTGGAGTCCCTATGACAACCATTGAGGCCAGGCTTGAATCTGTGCCAGAGATGGGATATGATGCACTCTCCAGTGAAGCCCGTGGAGAAATTTGCCTGAGAGGAAATACCTTGTTCTCTGGTTATCACAAGCGTCAAGATCTTACCGAAGAGGTTCTGGTTGATGGTTGGTTTCATACAGGTAAAACCTCTTGTTGTGGATTAAACAGTGATCTACAATGTCAACGAAGAATTCCTTTTTCCAGGCTTCATTAGGATTCTCCATTTAATGGTTTAGTATTATTAGTTGTTTAGACACCACTCAGAATCATGTAAACTGCTACTAGACAGCATGACACACACTCAAAAAGGTTTTATGGATTGTTGAGCACTTGGTAATCTCCCACTATGCTGTGTAAAATCTTTAACTGAAATGGTCACAGGGGATATCCATTGAAAATTGGGCAATCCAAAAAGACATTCATATGAGAATTAGCTCAATGATTGTTATTAAATTCGAAAACCCAGTGAAGAGGGCACATAGGAGATCAAGTTGAGGCATTTTGTCATGATCATCTGACTTTCTCCATTTTTGTTTTTATTTCCATGCATTGTGCATATAGGTTATTGAGGTTGCTAATTTGCCCCTAAATGCAGTGTGTTTTGGAATGATTTGAAAATCATTACAGGTGACATTGGAGAATGGCAGCCAAATGGATCCATGAAAATTATCGATAGAAAAAAGAACATCTTTAAATTGTCTCAAGGAGAATATGTTGCCGTAGAGAATATTGAAAACAAGTATTTGCAGTGCCCCCTTGTAACATCGGTAAGTTTCTGCTTCTCATAAAACATTCAATAAAATTGGAGCAACATGAATCGTATCGCTTTTTGTGTTTGATGCCTAGCTTTATATGGGAAAGTGGACTTTCAAATACCTTAATCATTAATTTTGATGTATGACTTTTTTACTCCATATGCAGATTTGGGTCTATGGAAACAGTTTTGAGCCTTTTTTGGTGGCAGTAGTGGTCCCTGAAAGAAATGCCCTTGAGGATTGGGCAATGAAGCATAATTCTAATGTTGATTTCAAATCTTTATGTGGAAATCTTAAGGCAAGAAAATACATTTTGGATGAGCTCAACAGAACTGGTCAGAAACACCAAGTATGCATATAGAGTCCAATTCCATGAATTTAGCATGAGTAACACTCGGATTAAGCCTTTGAGATTATAGGGTGATGAATACTTTGTTAATTTCTAACTTTGCAAAAAGTCATTCATTTTAGTCTTTCTTTATTTTTGTTGTCTTTTTTGCACGAGAAAAGTCGAAAATTGAATGTCGCTAAAGTCAGGGAATAACCAACTCAAACAATCTCAAGGACTACTCTGAGTGGAATTACGCTATATTTTGATCTTGCTGATTATATTTGACGTTATTGATATTTTCTCAGCTTAGAGGTTTTGAGATGCTAAAAGCAGTTCATCTGGAACCAATTCCCTTTGACATGGAGAGAGATCTGGTAACTCCAACATTCAAGCTGAAGAGATCACAATTGCTCAAGCACTATAAGGTTTGTCTCATGTTCTGTGATCAATGTTGGAATCAATAACTTTCTATTTCACTTTAAAGTACAGCTTTATTTTATTTGTTTCCTTTACTTCTTGAATTAGTAGTGTTGATTCATGGTTTGTTCCAAAATATGCTTTACTTTCGGCTAATCAGGAAGCATTACCTTGATAATTTAAGTTAGATGTTGTAGTGCTTTGCTTGCCAATTATATAAAGTGTTATTCGAGTACCTAAATAAATAATTAAATAAAATGTTACTCTTTGCCAACATCATTTACAGGATTATATTGATCAACTGTACAAGGAAGCGAAGGCACAGAAGGTGTGAGCCAGGTGGCAATCGGGGATTATATATGCAATTACACTGATTCCTGTCGGTTTCCACAGAATCCATTTGAATTTTTTGTATATTTTGGTTCATTCAGTGATGTTAAAAGCTATATAAACAAAACTCTATAGTTTATATTGAATTCTTATAAAGATTACGAAATGATATTAGTTGGAAATTCTGATAAGCTTGCTTGTAACAACCGTCTTTTCTCTTTTATTTTTCATTGAGCTATTTTGGTCCTAGTGTTTGTTCCCTCATCTAGTCCATAATTGTCGCCATTAGAATAACCTGTACTTTTTTCATGCCACTCTTGACCTATGCTTGTTAATAATGCTTTGATTCTATGTTGATAAGTTAGAAAGATCAGCGGAAATTACACTTTCAAAGTGGGATAAAATAAAAGTAGTTTTTTTATTTTTTATTTTTAAAGAACTAAAAAATACAACATTAAAAGTTGAAACCACTTTTAAAGTTCCTATGTGCAAGTTCCCCGAAAACATCTGGGTCTTGACATTATTTGGCATATTGAGTTTTCATGTTAAGAGGGAGTTGTGGTTGCTAAGATTGCATTTGCTGAAAACAAAATGGTGTAATAATGCAGAGCAGCAACAAATGTAAATTTATATTATATCCCACATGTAAGAATACAAATATATCCCCAAATGATACATGATTTGTGAATACACGAGCAGCTAGAAGCCAAGAACGATACCACATCAATCCTCTTCATCTTCTTTTGTTTTTTTACATTCTATGAAACCACAAGTCTTTCACTGAGATTTGATTCCACTTTTTTACACATGCTAACTTTAGGACATGGGTGAATCGTAAAACAATGGCAGGGTGTTTATAGATAGATATAAAGTTTCAACAAATGAATGATACAGAAGATAATTCACACACATTAAACAATGGTTTAAATCTCAGATATCAATCAAGTCCAAATGGTGGTTCCTAAAAAAGGATGACCACCAGCGCCCAGATGGGATAGACCAACAGAAGTATTATGCCAATGGAATTTGATATGCCGTGAGCTTTAGTGAATGAGTTTCTGAAACCACCAGAAGCCCGAATGTGTTCTTGCAGCAGATAGCATGCAATGATGAGACACACTACCACCCCAACAATGTTGTCTCTGAAGGTGCTTGCAATTAGACTAGGAGCTACAACGATAAGAAGAATCAAAGCACCAGGCAATTCCAGCCAATCTGCAGTAACAATGATGCATGGTTTATTACTAACATTATACTTACTATAGTATACTACTATTATGAAGATTGATATATATCTTTAATATGAAGTGGAATGACGCTGATCATCAATAGGGACAGCTACAAAATACTTGCATGTTGTCAAGTTCACTCAATGGGTACCAGCAGAGTGTTTTAGGAGACACTAATTATAATACTAAATTGTGAGCAGTTGTACCATACCAGGGAAGTGTCTAGGAAGGAAAAGGCGTAATACAACAGCAATTAAAGCAATCCATTTTCCAATCTCTCCCCTGCGTAGCCATGAAAACAAGGAGAATGATAATATAAAGGAAACTTATTATATGGCACAAAATTGATAACAAAAAAGCGTGACAAGCTAAATCACCTGAAGACGCCAAAAACTAATGAAGGCAAGCTGAAGAAAATGTATGGAATGAGTAGTGCCGTGAGAATATTTGTCTTCCAATTTGTACGATCCAAAATCAACAGATAACTGCAAACAACATGTTAGAATAATCAGTGAAGTCATAGTAAAACTATGAAAGATTACATAAAGTTGATTCAAATGTGTGATTTTTTGCTTATGAAGCAACGATCCTCCCAGCTTGTGCAATTGGTTCGGGTAAAGTCTGTTTCTATTTTGTTGTGCTATTCACTATTTCACCCAGCATTGATTTCCATGAAGTAAACACTGACTCGTGAGAGTTTGACACCGACAAGTAAACTTTCAAGTGTCTTATGTTGAAACTTAAATTGTATCATGTATTTTAATTTTTTTTTTTTATCTGAATACAACTTTTTTACTGGAAAAAAAAAAAAGTACAAGTCACCTGGCACGTGCTTCATAATTCCTTGTGGGATAAAAAAAAAATACTACTATTTTGAGTAAACGCTAACAATTCATGATAAAAGCAATATAAGGTATTGAGTGCATTAACATTTTAGGATAGCAGATAAAATGATGGACCTCTTATCCTATAGACAAAGTCAAATTATAAGAGAAAAAATAAACCAAAACAAAATTAACAAAAAATCGAAATAAAAAAAAAGTCTTGTATCCTTTTATGCATCAAAGTTAACATGAAAATATAGTCGTCCTAACAAGCATCATAAAAACGGTGGCAGTGAGAAATATATGGGGTTAGACCCAATCACAGCAACATCTTAATAGATTCATTCATTCATTCTAGTTCCGCATGCTGGTTTAGAGACTCACACGATCCATAAAGCAACTGACCTACATAGTATGAAGAAAAAAAAAGATATATATAGTTTGGTGTGAGAATTAAGAAGAGTGCATACATAGCAGCAATGGCAGCGATGAAACCGAAAAAAGAGGCTCCAAAGCCCATGCCACCAAGTTTGATGGCATGATGAGCGAGTCTATTAGCAGCGAGACTCAGGTCTCTGAAATCAGAGTTGATCAATTGAATTGCTTCTTCTTGAAAATCCATTCTCTTCCACATTTTCATTGGACCAGAGATGATTACTATGCACTTAGATTTCTCAATCAAGCAAACATGGTATGAAATGAAAGTCAAAACAAATATTAAGAGCTAACGCACATGTTACAGACTAAGTCTCTGGAAAAGGAAAGGCCACGTGGCTTAGCTGTGCCAGCTGCCCTTGCTTTATCCAAATCCTTTTTTGCTAAGAAAACTCCCACAAGCAACAAATTTCAGTATCCATCTAAGTAATACTATATTATATCTATAACAATAACAATGTAATGTTTTTACTTATATTATTCTGTCATTCTTATGAATGCTGTGAGCTGTCATGTGACCATGATGCTGTGTCTGCCACGTGGCGAGTATCTACTGTCTATGGGCCAAGATGTCACATTCGGCTGACTCAATAGCCGACATTTTTCTTATTGGGCCATTTGGGCTTTGAACTTTGAATTGGTTTTATACCCTTTTGGGTTATCTTCTTTGGAGCAAGTGTTTTCCTTTTTATCTGCCCCAAAACAAACTTTATTCATAAGGTATACTCCAACTTTTAATCTATGTTAAATGTTATTTGTACATTACATTTCCACAATTTTTATAATAAAAAAGAAAAAACAAATCCTGAGATGAAATAATTAAAATGATGGAGAGATAAAAAATACTTCTAAAAATATTAGGATAATGTGAAATCAAATAAATATTATTCGTTTCTTTTTTACAAAGCCTGTAGAGTTGCGAGAGTGACGTGTAATTTGATCATTTCTAAACAAGACGGAGACACTTCAAGGGAAAAAACACTGGAGGGTCGAGTTTAACAAATCTCACCATCATATAATAAATTTATCAAATATTAAAACTAAAGAAGGGTTTAAATTTCATGAAGTTTCTGAAAACTGCGGAGGATCTGATGCAGATGGTAGCCATGGCCGGTTTGTGTTGTACATGTACAGGTAAAGGGACAAGTGGCAGCTGCCGACATTGTATATATATATAATAATGCAAATTAAGAAGAATGGGTTATTAACTAAATATAAACTTAGATAAGTTGATGTTGATTACGAATATTTATAATGACATGCTTTAGTTGATTAGACATGAGAATGCATTCAAAAGGAAGATCTCACGCCACCTGTTATGCAAATATTTGAGTTGTTATAAAAATTGATAAGTTAATCTTGATTATTAATTATTAATTATTTTCGTTGATGAGATGACAAGTGTAAGAAAGTAATCAAAAGAGGTATGCATGTTTGAATCGTATACCTGATTCTAATATTCTTTGATACAGTGCAGAGAAAATGAGAGAAGTGAAAATTTGAAATTTATATAAGAAATATAAAAGTAAAAAAGCTATAAAAAAAATTAAGAAACCATAAGTGCAGTTACTATTCTCTTTATTTTATTTTCTTCCCTCAAAAGAAACCGTGTTTGGATGAGGAATTTATATAGGGTAATTCATTTATTTGAAGAATTTTAAATTTTTTGAGGTGAAATATTTTGTTTGGATGAGAAATTTACAAAGAATTTGAAATTCAAGCATTTGGGAAATTCCTTAAAATAGTATAATTTCAAATTCTCCTAAAAGTGGGAGAATTTGAAATTCCTTATATTTGTTTTTCTTATTTTACCTATATATTTTATCTTATCTCTTCATTCTTTTAATTATTGGATATTCAAAAATATTTTTAAAATTATTAAATATTATCTTATATTAATTTTTAAAATTATTAAATATTATCTAATATTAATTTTTAAAATTATTAAATATTTAAAAATGGATTAATATTTATTTTTATAAAATTTAATTTAAAAATTTTAATATATAAATATATTTTTAAAATCAATTTTACTATGAAGGAATCAAATTATCATATTCAACCTAATAATTTAAAATTTAAGAAATTTGAATTGACTCGTCCAAACAAAATATTTTAAAAATGATAGAAATTGAAATCAAAGTAATTCAAATACTAAGAATTTAAAATTCCTTGAATTTGTAAAATTCTTTATCCAAACACGCTATAAGTGTACGTAACTCTATCATTTCATCTTTAAGTACATACAAATTAAGAAATAACAAAATGTCACTTTAGACATTTAAGAATAATTATCATCGTACAACCTATTTTCTCATGAATTAGATGAAATAAAAAAAATAGATAAAAAGATTAAAAAAAACGAATAAACATATGTGGTATGATAAATTATTATTTTTTAAATGTATGAATAATATCCAATTGAGCTTTTTAGTTTCTACTTGTTCATATCACAATTCGGTCAGAGATAGATCGAAAAGTAATATAGAAATATACAAACGTAACAAACCTTTTGCAAAAATTCATTATATATATTTTCTCTCAACTTTCTTAAATTTATTTCTGTGATTTTTGTTTTATCAATACACAGGAAACTATAAATTTTGTTATATATATCAAGATATAAAAGACATATACTTATGCAATAAAAAAACATATTGAAATAACATAACTCTTAAAAATTATAAATCATGATATTATATATATATATATATATATATATATAAATATTTTTAATAAACTGTCTTAATTAGCCACTTTTAAATATGTTAGTGGTGACTTAAGGGACTAAAGCAAAATTTTTATAAATTACAAGAATTAAAAACAACAATTTTAAATTTGAAGGATAAAAAATAAATTTATTTTAAATTTGAAGAACTAAAAATATATTTAAGCTTATAAAAAATGAAAAGTGATAATAATTGATTAAAAATTAACCATCGAAACTATAAACAATAAATTAACTAATTTTAACTTGTAGAATGTACTAGTTAAATATTTATTATATGTAATTAAAATTTACAATAAATTTTATACACAAATAAATATTATATTTTAAATATATAAATTATATTTTAAATTTATATAAATAGATATTTTAAACATAAATAATATTTTAAGTTTTAGATAAATATTTTATATTATAATATAATATTATAATTTATTTTAAAATATTAAAATTTAATTTATAAGTAATTATAATAAATAAAA